TGTGTTTTTGACCTTGAAATGCTGCTCGAAGATGGCGAAATGCGAACTCGTGGTTGGGAGACTTTGAAATGCTGCTCGAAGATGGCGAAACGCGAACTCGTNGCGAGCGAAAGCCTTAACAACGTTCATAAAAACGCACAGAAGAGTTACAAAATCGTCAAACCTAGTATACCCAATGTCCTTCGTACAGGGACAAATATTGTAAAAATTTGGCTTTCTTTGTACCTTACAGGCTGTGTTAGGTACGCAAGGTATTGTGGTAAAATGCACAGCCGCCATCTTTTTTCCTACGGTGGATTAAGAGACTGGTTCTGCACTATGTACAATAAAATGGGCGCTAATATTAATACACTATAAACAAAGTCGCCATAAAATCAGTACTTTCACTGTTATTGAAAAAAAATTGTATTACAGAACCAAACTCATTTCCTACCACTGATTTTATGAATTTTTAACGCAGTCATAATATCACCATTTATTTACACTTTATTTGGCAAACATTTCTTTAAAATGGCTTTAAAACTGAAACGATAAAATGCAGCAACATTTTGTCAGAAAGAGACATGAAAATAAAAATAAAAATAAAAAAACAAAAACAAAAACAAAAACAACAGAGTATATAACCAGTCCAGGCATGATTAAATCTGTCACACAAGCGCGTTACTCTGGTAAAGTTCCACGGGAATAGAACACTTTCGCTTACTTTAGCAATCTCTATTGGCGTAACTGGGTACTTTCCCAGATAAAACATTTTGTGGTACATTAAAATTTTTTCGTTTCATGCAGGCATCAATTGGTTTAGACAAAGATGAGAACTTCCTTACTCTTGTGAAACGGCTCTTTTCGATAAACGCGTAGGACGGAGGGAAGTTGGTAAGGGGGAGGTTATTTAGAGCTGGACGGAATAAAGGAGGGATGAACCGAAAGAAAAAAAATCCTGCAAAATACTAAAACTGCAAACTTAACGGAGTAAGAAACCGATATCGGGCACGTACAAGTACGAAGGTTAAGTCTGTTTAACACGATAAGCAGCAATTTTTTAAAATGTTATCAACGACCTTAAAATATAGTACTATAACACCACACAACAACGGCACATCCTCTGTCGTCCACCACCAACACTCGGGGGAGGGGTGACAGGGGCGAAGTATGCGTGTACTTTGAGGTCGGGAAGGTGAGCCTGTCAAGGAAAGCAACCACATGAGTAAACTTTACCGTTAATTTGCTGAAAAAAGAAACTGGTTGGAGTGCACGTTGGATAAATAGTGATTTTTTTTTTATCCAACCAGGAAAAGAGATGGTAAATGTGTGCGTAGATAATCATTTTTGTTTGCAACAAAAATACCGCACTTGTCTTCGAAACCGACTGAAAAATTACATCGGGAATTCAAAATGTTACGGAAGTATTCAAATTTCGTTCCAACCGGGCAAAGGGGATGACTACCTCTAGAAACTACAATTTTGGAGTCGATTCTTGTACGATTTCAGACCATGTTCATTTAGACGCGCGGAAGTGAACTAGCGCGGTAAATCGTGTGAAAGATACAAAGAACCGTGCGTATTACCACCGCAGTACCTACATGACGCTTGTTAGCATTACTACTTTAACAGCAATATTTTGATTTAATGGCACGAGAGATCATCGCAGTTACCTACGCAACTTAGTCAGCTGCGAAAGTAAAACCTCAAAAATTCAGGCTCGAACTGGATTTGAACCCATTTTCTCTACGATACCGGTGCAGTGTTCTACCAATGGTCAATTCCCTATAAGAGACGAGTCTTCAGGGAATCAAGGTAGTTGATTCATTATCTTGTATTCACTATTTTGGACTGGATATTTGTTTGCATTAATTTATTTGTTTGGATATTTGTTTGCATGAATATAACTACCGCGACTCCCTGCAGGCACGTTTCATCAAGGGAATTGCCCATGCGTTCACGTATCAAGTCAACTAGGGGCTGGTCACGTCATGGATTGTAAGATCAAAGCTGCCTTTGTTTTCAGTAGCGTGCATAACTGCAATAATCTTTCATCATGTCTTGAAGTCCCCGACCACAGCAATGCGCTTTCGTACGAAAACGCAAACTTTTTGTTGCAATTTCGCCTATCATCCACACTAAAACGGCCGATAGGAAACTCTGATGAAAACGGAGGCTTTCGAAAACGGTGACGAAAAAAGCGTCATACACTGTCAATACCATCGGCGTTTTCGGGCGTTTTTTATATCAACGACAGGCGAAAACGTATCAAAAAGTAAGCGTTTTCGAATGAAAAGGAATCAGTGTGGACTGGTGAAAACAAAACGAAAACGCTGGTGAGGTCGAAAATATTTTGCTTCGTTTTCTCCGAAATGAAAACGGAAACGCATTAGTATCGTATAACTCTCTCCCATAGTTCAGATATAGGATATTCAGTTCTTACATCCATTTCCAGTATTGTGATTTGCATCATGTGTACTTACCTTGAGTTTTCGTATGCCTGCTCTGGTTATAAGCTGACAATCATAAAGTTCTATTCTCTTTAGCTGCTGGCAGTTTCTACATTTAGAAAGACGAAAAGATAAGAATCTAGCAGGATTTCAATTCTTATACTTAATCGTACCTTTTTGGTACGATTAAGTGTGAATGGGGGCTAATCGGCTTCTCGTTGGGGGCTAACTGGCTAGGAGCTAACCGACTTGGGGCCTAAATGACCAGCAACTATATTTACCAGCGATATTTAACTGTACATGTAGATGTAAACTTACATCAAGTAGTCTAGGGCGTTGTCTGTAATGAGAGGGCAGTTATCCAGCTCCAGCACCTGAATATGATCCACTGCACAAGGGCTGCCGCCTAACTGTCTGATGCCCTCATCTGTGATTAACTCACAGTGTGAAAGACTCTGACGAAAAACAAAACATTGAGGCTCAGTTCACGCTTCATACATGCAACAGTCTTTAAAAATTACACCTATATTTTGAGTCGGGTGGCAGCTCTCGTAAGGTCTCACATGAATGGCTTGATACTCTTTGAGAGGACAATAGAACAAACAACAGAAACAATGCCCCTAGCCCTAAAACAATAACAGCTTCTACAATAATAAAACAATAGCAGTTTAAGAGAACTGCTACACTTCTGTAAATTTCATATTCATTACCACTCTGCAAAACATCAACCATGTATTGTACTTCATGAGTAGTGGATATAATAATGTATTTGTCAAAAAGGCAAATTATTTTAATAAAAAACAAGGGATTCAGTTTGTCGTTGTTGTCCCGGATTGAAGGACAAAGAAAGTAAACAATCTCTATTATGCATGTGGGAATCATAAAGTGTCGTTATAAAAGTTCACCAAAACGGGGATAATTTTCTGTCGATATGAAGTAATATGAAAATTTGGAATAACCCAGTGAAATAAAATAATATGAAGTACTATTTAAACATTGCATACATTCATTCTGAGTTGTTTTGTACCGCATCTGCTCAGGTATGATAAAACAGCAAAGACAGATTCTACACATGACTAAGTAGTTCATAAGACTCTCCATGTAAATTATGTTCATGCCTATGCCTGCGGCAAATACAGGATTTTAGAGAAGGGGGTTTGAGATATGGACTGCCAAAGGCCCTCTCCTGTAGGGGGAATCTGGCCATCCCCCAAAATTGAAATTCTGCTATTCTGAGGCCAAGTGGGCATGTTACAATGTCTCATTTTTTATTTAGGGGCTTTGCCCAAACCCACCAAAACCCCTAGATCTTCTCCAGCCTATGCCTTGTTCCACTGTTGTTCAAGCTGATGATGTGGCCATAACAGGAACAATGAAAGACTGTCCTCCTTAGTCTCTCCCTGTTGCCTACTCCCAAGACATCTTATCTTGGAGAGGGGGGGGGGGGGGGGGGGGAAAAATAAAGCAAAAAACTCATGCAAGGGAGGGNGGGGTAAACAACCAGAGAACACCTGTTCTAAAAGACACTTACAAGTTTCTCTAATCCAGAACACCAAAGTGATAAGTGATTCAAAGTTGAATCTGTGATCTAAGAAGGAAAAAAAACCAAACATCATTTCATAATTTTCCTCGTTGAATTCTTGGAAAGGATCTCTGAAGCCAGGGTGACATTGAGCTACAGTAACAACTTACCAGAACACATTCTTCCAAGTCCATACGTTGAAGATTATTACAACCCTGAAAACAGGCAAACCATGATAAGTAATTCACAGTGACCTTGCAGGTCATTGAAAACAATAAAACAAAGTAACAGACTGTAAGTAGGTAAAAGTATTCTGCAGAACTTTTGCATCATATACATGTAAAACAAAATGACCGTTAGTTTCTTTTAGCCAGAGATATGCAAATTGCAGATAAATTCAAAACATAAATGGTTTCCCAGTCGATCTGTGATACACAATACACCAACCTACCAAGGCTACTTCGCCAAGTATGTAATTTTTGACTTCTTCTGGGCTCAAGGCAGAGTTTCCTTAGCAACATGCAGTTCACGGAAAATTCTAACAATCCCTCTGCCAGCATGTCTTTTTTTACACCACAATTGCTACATACAATTTTGACGAGTCAAACAAGAACTCATTACAACTGTAAATATCAAGAAACTGATCCTTACTCTACAAAGTGCTTGAAATCCTGCATCTGTGAACTGTGAACATTGCGCAGCTTCTAATGTTCTGCAGCCATAGGGAGAAAATTGATGAACAAATTAACCAAAAAGCTCAGACTAACCATGCAAAGAGAAGACCAGATGGATGACAGAAAATGCAGGGTGCGAAGAAAATAACAGTAAGTTTTCCAGCCTGCCTCTCGGGCAAGCTGTAACTAGGCCTAAGGATGTACTAGCACTGCAGTCATTTTCACCAGCCCAGAAAACATTTTCTTACTAGCACAATTACATGTAATAATGAAAAATTAAATTTATAAAAAATAATAATTCCATCCCTTAAATTACTTCTTCAATTTTCGATTTTCTCAGATTTTACTGCAAAAAATTATCCTTGCTGTCCATTAGGCAAGTGACAGATAGATTCCCATTTTTGTTGTTTTCTTTTTTTTTACTCACAGTTCAACTGTATTATGATTTAAATTAAATTACTGTTCTTGGTTTTAAAAAGTGATGATCACTTCACACCTAATATTCCTAATACCATCCTTTCTTACCTAAGTTCATGACTTCTTAATCCCAGAAACTGAAGTGCTACATCCGTCAGCTGTATACACCCAGACACACAGAGAAATGATATCTCCCTACAGTGCTCACCAATTGCCTTAATAGCTGCATCTTTTATGTTCTAAAGGACAGAGAAACACACAAGAAGCAATGTTGGTTTAAGGCTCACACATACAAATGTAATACTCCTGCTGTTATGGTATAGTGTAACTTGCTCCCTTTTCTAATCAGCTGCTTTAATACCATTTAATGACAAGTTTAACAATGTTCTTCATGATGTACAAGACTCGAAAGATTGAACAAACAGTATTTTTCTAGATTCAACACATTGTGTAGCTGGAGAAAGGAAATAAGCTGTGGAGATAAAAAAACATTGCCAACTTGTGTGGAAGCCCAATTTCTCGAACCCTCTATTTTTTGAACCTCATGATAAATTGAACCAAAGGTTGTTTCCCTCCCCTCAATCAAACAATGCAGTTTTACCCCTTGGACTATCTGCCTTTTCATACCAATTTTTGTTTCCCTTGGAGGTTCCAAAAATTGGGATTCAACTGTAGTTTGTAATAAGTGATTAACAAATAACCTTGTTGCCAAGCTAATATGTGAAGACTTGAAAAGCAGCCACCAATTTTTTTAAAAAGAATTAGTGTCAACTGGACAGTGTTAAGTTAATATAATTGAAGCTACAAAATGTGGACTTCTGCAGGCAAACAGTTGACCAGTACAAAACTGCATGCTATTACATAACTGTACATGATGACTAAAATATTCTGTAATGAATTACCTCGCAGCTGTGCAGGTTAATTGTATGGAGTTTTGTGCACTGTTTTGTCAGATGATAAATTCCTTCATCTGTTATCTACAGAGGGAATAGACACGTAATTAATAAACGGGAAAGCATATAAAAAGGCTCTGTCCAAGAGGCTTTATGGATCTAGATAAAAATATAACCATGGGTCCTCAACTTTGTAAAACATCTTTACACAGATAGAGAGTTTTGGTTTTGGTAACAGCATTTTTGATTTAAATTTGCCTGTAATAACTACACGGAGGTGGCACACCTATATGTAAAAGTGGATAAACCAAGAAACAAGCAGGCAATGGCACAACATAACTTTGAATCAGAAGATAATTTGAACCTTAAAGTGGAATCAAACACCATAACTACACTATCTGACTTTCCTGACTTGTGGAGGCAGCATGCAGGACTGGTTTAAGGTGTTGGAATTGGAATTTGGAGGTCCCTAGTTCAAATCCTCCAACCTACATTTATCTGGATTTACTCTATGTCCAATTGCAATATTTCTTTATATTCATTTACAGTGTCCCCAATACATGTAGGCCACGTTCAATATATCAATTATTCTAACATGGCTTTGAGGCTTTCGGGACAAAACTGCAAATTTTTCAAATGTCTTTTGTGCCTAAATTCCCAACAGAGACTTGGATTCAAAGAAAACACCACCAAAATAGAGGTTTGTCCTGAAAGCCTCAGAGCCATGCTACTCTGAATATTGATATAATATTATCGAACATGGCCTATTAACGCAACAGCACTAAATACATTTGACACTTAAATAAAGTTTTACTTAGTTACTTTATCTATTTTTTTTTCTTTTTGATCCTGGACTCACCAAAGAACATCCTTTTGCTATAAATACAAGTAAGTTATGACATCCTTGGGCCAGTAACTTGAGACCATGTGAAGATACTTGACTGCACCACGATACATTTATATACTGCAGCTTTGTACAGCCTTTACTGAAATTCAAATGGCAATAAAGTGTTCATGGACAGAGAAACAGTAAATACGTATTGTTAAATGACCTGGCTTGGTTACAAAAAAAATTGTTATTAATAAAAACCGCTAATTAGAATACCTAGTTTAAGAGAAGGATAGTATGAGGCATCATAATATTGGAACAGTAAAATTATTGGTCAGGAATGAACTGATTTCATTGTTCAAACAAACAAAGGGCTTCTTTTGCCTTTTTCTCATTCACAGGAGGACATCAAATGATGCTGCCAGCACAACAGCTGCCAGTTTTCTCAAAAGCATTTAGCCAAAGCTAGTTTAAAAATTAATACAGGGAAATGTTTGTCTATCAAATAATTTGAATTCACATGCAAAAATTCAGGCAATTTTGTGCATTTGAAATAAAACTGATCCAATACACACTAATGAATGTTTAAAACTGTCATTTTCAAATGACAAGCAGTTTGAGCAATCAGAGGGTGCCTGTGAGGCATAACAAATGAAAGAACCCTTTCAAGGGAGCTGCATCTACTTTTGATTGCATCATACTGTAGATATCAGGATTACGGAATTATTAGAAATGATCTTGCAATTCAGTTTTAATTGCTTTCAGCTAACCTTAAAGCACTAAGAGAGTTATCTGTGATCTGATGACAAGATGACACATCTAAATGTTTGAGTCGTCCACTGTAGTTACTAAGACTAATAGCAGTGCTGGAAAAAATAAGAAAAAAACAGCTTGATTTGCCTCTACTTATATTACTACAATTATGGCTACAGTTGTAGCTCCGTGAGCAGGCAAGATGAACCAAATCCTGCATTTTGACTGGCTACCAGAGTAGGCAACATGGCGCTATCTTGCCTGCTCAGGACTACTACCTGTGTCCAGCAAGAAAAATGTCCCGAAATAAATAATCCTCTATTGACCTATCTTGGTTGGCCAAGATGGCTGGGTATTGGCCTCATTCCCTTTCTGCGAGTCTATGGACCTTGACTCCATCTCGGTCCATAAACACACAAAAAAGGAACTTGGCCAATACCCAGCCATCTTTACCTCATGCTTGGTCAATACATACCTCATACATATTGTTGCACTATTAGCTAGCAACAACTGTGTAGTTCCAGAAAATATCCATACTTCCCCCACAGAAGGGATTTTTTTCAAGACACTCCCACTCCTCTGGAAATTCCAGTTAAGCTTGATACATTTCTTTAAATGTTTTGGTCTTCAAGGGAACCCCCAACCCCCAGGAAATTCCAATCCCTTCTGTGGGAGGAGTATGGATATTTTCTGAAACGGCACATTGCATACTAAACACTGTATGTAACCTAAACTCATACCTTTTTAACATGCTTATTACTAACAAGAGAATACACTCTACTGCTGATCTACACATCTTTGGGTTAATAATTACATGATTGTATAGTACTACTGTATGCATAATAATATTAAGTTAAAGAGAATGAAATATAACACACCTATCTGAAATTCTTTTACATCCATCTAAAACTAGTTCTTCGATATTTTTACATTGCTGAGCAAATATCCTGAAAAGAAAGTCCAGAAGAACAAATTAAGAATAATGTTACTTTGTCTAATGATAGAGAAGATGCAAAATGTTAAACATTACTTGAAGCTAGGTACAAAAACAGTTTACGAAATGACATGTATTATCAGCAGGCCTCAAAAGATCTGTGGAGGCAGTGTGGTAGTAGTAACTAGGGTGCTGGACTTGCCATACAAAGATCCCAGGTTCAAATTATCCTTCTCCCTGACATTGGATGGATTTGTGCCCTGAGAACACTTTCAACTCCTCCACATGTTGTCAATAGCCAACTGGCCCACCAGTTGGAATTTTTAACAAGTTTCTGTTTCTTTGCAATATGTGCCTGTTTGTTGTAAACTACTGAGACAGCAGTTATTGTGTTTACCCTTTACTTTCTGTGAAGTTTTATTTATCATTTACTCTTTCATGCTTTTTTTTATACATATCAGTTCTATTGTTTACATAATTTTTTATTTAACATATTTTTCAGGGGTTTTGTTAACATTCTCAGCTGGAGGGCAACTGGTTTTCACATGCGGGTAGAATGTTTTGAAATGAATAATTTTTTTGAGAAAACTTTCCTCTAGGTGGTCAAACAAAGTAGGCTTCACAGCTGGTCAATTTGCCTGGTGCTCAGTTCTTAATGAAAACTCTGTTTTTCATCACTAAATATGATTGGTCAAGGATTTTGCTTCAATTTACTTTGTTTACTTTTGTGCTCAATAGTAACTCCAAGTGGGCTAAGATACTCCTATTCAAGTGTTGAATGAAGGTTTCCAATTTTTTATAACTACATGTAAATTATCCACTGCAACAATAGATGCATTAAGACACTTTTATCTAACTTGTATCAGGAAGACCCTTTCAGCGGCAGTACTTAGGGGAATCTTTCTTTACAATAATTAATTTGTCTCATTAGCATAGAGCACTTCAGTTTCATATCAAGCGACAAAAATATCAGTTTGAATACTGAGAGGTCTCATGGCTACCTTAAATACTTTTGTCGCACAGGTTTAAAAGCTCAAAATTTAACATAGAATGTATGGCCTTGACTAGTGCTCTTGCCAACCAGAAAGCTTTCAGTTTTTGAGAGCCAACATCACCTTCAATACCACATGTACACCCTAAGAGCTAAAATGATCACCATGTACTACATGTAAGTTACACAAGTTCTTCAGCTGTTTGGAGTCAAGTCATTTCTAATGTGCTGCCTTCTCTATTCAAACTCGTATACTAATGGGGCAAAATGTAAGCAGTAACTTCAGGAAAGATTAAGTCGTTAAGAATTACATGAAAGAGTGCACCAGCATTATGTAACAGTGTGTGGTAATTAGTAAAGAAAAAAAAAAAAGGAAAAAA